GTAAATTTGAAGCACTTCAAAACACATGAATAGGTTGCTAATGTGATGAAAAAAAGTTCTAAAACTAGAGAACTCTCAATTGTTAAGGGGCAGGTTGGTCATTGACTCACTCTTACTGTCACTCTAGAAAATGGCCAAGTGTAACCACTTCCTAAAGCATAGTATAGCGGGTTTGGGTTTTAATGTCAACCCGGGTCCTAGATGTGATGACTACTCAGCGAATTCTTATTATTTAGCGGTGAAACTTTAGTGCAGGTTCAAACAAGAAAAGCAAGCAAGCAATTAAACGGGTGTTTTCAAGTAAAGAGAGGTCACCCGGATATGGTTCCCCATAGACTGCAGTTAAGCCGAATTGTAATTAACCAAGTTCAATTCCTGAGATAGTTATACTGCGGGAGGTTCTTAAGTAGTCAGAAGTCTCGACTAAAGGTCTCCAGAACCTCTCAATCTGAGTCTCCAGCGGGCGACTAACCTCCACCGGAGTAAACAGATTGAGGCCCTATTGAACTAAACCTTCGGTACATAATAGTGAATTGGCTCCTTGACTCGCTACGACACAACTCCTAACAAAGGCCAAGTGTAACCAATGAAAGGGACTGCAGTAAAGTGGCTCAAGTAATAAATATCGAATCCACGGGTCTCTAGAGTTACTATTACTCAGCTTCAGTTTATTATTTAGCAAACTAGATTAAGATGAAAGAACTAAAACTACTCTAGTAAACTACAGTTAAAGTTAATCAAATTACAGTTTGGGAACTAACTTAGGTATAATTCCCCCTAGCCACTAGCCAGACTAAAGATTGATGATTTCTAACTTGTTTCACTTTCATTCACAATGCGGAGAATCCTTGACTAGACCTTGAGTCTCGACTAAAGGAACATGGCCCTCTTGAGTCAATTGCCTAGTGGGACGTATCCTTCTCTAGAACAACCAATCAAGGCGTTCTGAACTAGATTCCCTCTATCAAATGAGGTTCTCAATCGATACAAAGCAGTGAATCAACCCTCGACTAAAGCGATCGATCCACTACTATCAATCTATGGTGCTCTATTGACCTAATCAGGTATTCACTCTCATAGGATCAAAGCAGAATCAATAATCTCGACTAAAGTTGAATTGAATCATGAAAACATGCATAGATTGAATATGAACTCAAGGTTATCAAGTCAGAGTACTCATACAATCATCCAATCGAACAAACATAGCTAGGGTTCCTCAAAACCTAAGTGAAGGGAAGTTACTCCATAGAGAAGAGAGAGACTGCAGTAAGAATCTTCAAATGATCAGTCTTCAAGTCCGGGCTTGTTCCTCGAGCTTCCAAGGTGAAGAAATCCTCCAATTCCACACTTAGAATGCCCTCAAATTTCCCCCTCTCTCTCTTTGGTTCGTCCTTTGGGTGTTTGGGATCCAAAACCCAGCTCTCCCTTTCCTTTGGTTTCAATCTGCCTAAAAAACCCGATTCTGGGCAAAACACGGTCGAGGACATGGCCGTGTTTTGCTTTTACCCGCCCGTGTTTTGCCCCCAGCAGCCCTCGTCGGCCAAAACACGGTCGTGCCTAAATATGGACACGGTCGTGTTTTGCTTTAGGCGCGCCCGTGTTTTTACTGCCGAACATGTTCCCCTATATTCAATGCTTCGTTTCTCCCTCGTTCGGACTCCGAATTAGTCGCCGTTTGATCCAAGATGCTAGTAGTCTCGTCCTTTTTCTTTTCATGACAAGCTTGAATGATTCTTTGTCCATAAAGTGAGGTAGAAATCCATTCTTCTTCAGGTCATGCCCGAGTTTCTTCACTCTAATCGCCAATTTTTCTGTGATTGACTTGCAACTTGTGCCTATGCTTCACTTTATGTGCTAGGACCAAAAATGTGACAAAAGAACACAACCTAGCGTTTAGGCCAAAGATGCGATAATTAATGCTCAAACGATCAAGAAACAAAGGGGAAAACATGAGCAAATATCGAGTCATCAAATCCCCCCACACTTAACCGTTTGCTTGTCCCCAAGCAAACCTAACTCAAACCAATGCAGCTCTCCTGATCTCTATAGCAACATACAACCCCGATCGTCGGTAGAGGATTTCCTAGATCATATAGCAGCTTACGAGGTCAACTGGTCTTCTAAGACGTCCCCTATCTCTCTCAATGCGAGTACTAGACTCAAGCCAGGATCATGAGAAGAAGTAGAAGTAAGACACTCAGTTCATGGATAAAGGGACTCACACCATTCACAATCAAGGACTCGCGATACCGGGGTGCTCTTTCACTTCATTTCACCGTTGGAACCCCTTTTTCACTTCCCTTTTACTTTTATTTTCCATTCACTTAGCGGGGGTTCCAACTGCAATCTTTCGCACGGTCGACCCTTATTAGTTAAGCAAGAGCAATTTCTGTACATCTGGCGCTCGCCAGAGTACTTCATTTAACTCCTTTTCCTCAACTCGTGTGGAGGGTCAATCAAATTAAGGGGGATCGGAAGCTCTATCCGTGCCCTTGAAAACACATCCTCAAGTAGGCAAACCGTTCAACGGGTGGAAGTTTTACTTGTACTAGAGACAGCTTAGCTTCACCTTGTAGGAGTACCCCACTAAGGATCACTAAAATCTCTTCCAAAACCCAATTTTGTGCAATAAACGGTGCCGCACACGTTGGGCTTACCCCATGTTTAAGATTTAATGATTTCTACATGGAGGACCAACTGCATTTCATTTTCACATAAGCACCCTGTACGATACACGAGTCCATAACACAATCCACATAGAGTCAGCATTTTCACATGAATTCAATGGTCCTAGCTCCACTAATTCACAAAATCAACTGCCACAACAGAGAGCTAGATAGGAAAAATCTTATACTTCAACATCCTCCATAGTGCTACACTACCTCCCTAGGTTGCACATTACTATAGAGACTGTCAATTCAAAGCATACTGAGCAGGCAATTTGCAAGGAAACACGTACTTGGAGCCCTCAAATTTAAAAATTTGGACAGTGGACTAGGCTCCAAGCACACAAACAGATCTAATGCAGTCAAAAGAGAAACATCCCCCCCCCCCCCACACACACACTTAAGATCGACATTGCCCTCAATGGAGAAGAGGGAAGGACATGGGGAACGATGTTACCGGTGTGCACGGACTGCAAGAGACTGGAAAGGGACCAGTCAGGGTGAAGCGGACTGGAGAAGGGACCAGTCAGGGACAAAGCACAGCTAAATGGAGCAAGAGGACTCAAACACAGTGGGTTAGGTTCAATAGTCGGCCCAATAGTACATCATCCAAAATCAAAAGAAATAAAATAAAATAAACCAACACACAAGACAGTTTGCATTCTGACAGAAATGAAAACAACACAAAACGGGCCACGAGTACAGCCTACTCGAGCCCGGTGAAGTCGATCTGTTCCATAAGATTGTCGACCCCCTCTGGAGGTGGTGATGGTGGTCGCGGTGGCGAGTGATCCCACCGGGTGGTCTAGTGGTGCTCCTCTGGTGGGTGACAAGTCTGAAGCAGGTTCTCCGAGTACTCCATCAATCGGCGGCCACGATCCCGCTCCCGCTCGATGAGAGCACCAGTGACTCCCATCTGGGCCTCCATCCAGTCGAGGCGCTCGTCTACGACCGTCAACCTGGACTTGTACTCGGTCTGGTGGGCCGAATACTGCTTGTAGAACTGGACCTGATGGTCCATGAGCTGCTGGTTCAGAAGCCCGAGCTGCTGGAACTAGAGCCCCACCTGATGGAACTGCTCGGTGAAGAAGTCCATCGATGGGACAGAAGCCATCGATGGACCAGAAGGATCGGAGGAGGACTCGCCTCTCTCTGATCTCCGTAGTGGCCGAAGATCCCCTCGTGGAGAGAGTGGGGGCTCCAGCTCATCAGCATCCATGGCACCGCCACCACCACCATCATCATCATCATCATCATCATCCTCCTCGCCAGTGTAGTCAGCATCCTCCTCGTCCTCATCGAGGTCCGCATCCTCCTTAGGGGGCATGGAGAGCCCATCCACCCAGGAGCGGGTGCCATCAGCGGCCAAGAGGAGTGCATTGTGGAGCACGTCCCGGCTGAGGGGGGTTGAGCCGCCCTGTATAGTATAATCGGTGAGGCCATCGAAGCTGATGTCGAAATGGCGCGCCAAGCGGGTGATCAGGGGATCACAAAAGAGATAGTTGGGCTTCCCGTGGCACCAAGAGAATGTGGTAGCCACGAAGGAACCCAAATGCAGCATGTGCTCCGGGTACACCATCGAGTACATGGCGTACAGTACCCGCTTCAGGATCTTGTGGGAGCCAGTGACGTTTGGGACGATGGATCAGGTGATGAGCAGGTTCAGAATGTGCCACTGCGGCTTCAGGGTGAGAACAGATGTCTGGCCAGCGTCGAAGTAGTCGTACCCATAGGCACGCCTGGCTATCTACCGGTAGAACCCATCAATGTTCCAGTCTTGCGTGTTCGGGACCTCGACCTCGTGGCGGGAGAACGGGTGGTACTCGATCCCCATGGCGTAGGCCACCCCATCTATAGTCAGCTCCCGTGGGTGGCCACCCAGCCTGAATGTGACCGCGTAGGAGTCCCGGGCCGCCTTGGGGTGGTACTTGAACGTGGTGTAGAACTCCCACACCAGCTCGGTGTAGGTGGGCTCCTCGATCGTCAGCAAAGTCCGCCAATCCCGGTGGCTGATGGCGGAGGAGAGCTCCTGTAGGCAGTGGAGCTGCTCAAAAACTGTCCACTCCAGATGGTGGTGGCGCTCCAGTTTCCCCCGGATGACCTTGCGGAACTGGTCCGCGTAATCTCGGTGCAGGCTCGGGTCCTGCACAAATGGATGGTCGAGTGACATGCTCCTGCAAAATCAGCAAACCAAAGGTGGAGCCAAGAAAAACTTGTCAGGACCAACAATATGGGTTCATTACTTCCCCCACACTTAAGGATCACCTAGGCTAGCAGTTTAAGCATTACCGGTTGAATTGCAAGCAACTCAACCGTAATCAAGGCAAGAAGCAAACACAACCCACCAATTTAATCATCCGAACAGCACACACACAATAACCATGGCCAATCATACACAAGGCAGCCCTCACCCTATTCTAATTCAAGCATGTCAGGCAATCACAGTTCTCGATCCTACAATCTACAGTTCGATTTTCCAGAAAAAGAGTAGTAAACAATAAACACACCTGGAAACTCAAGTAGAACTGTAGCTAGAGCGCAAAAAACGGGCGAGGGACGCGAAAAAGGGCCAAAAACAACCCAAGAAGCTCGCCGGGAAGTCGCCGGAAAATTGGCCGGAAAGTCTCCGGAAAATGACCGGCGACAGGGGGCGGTGGAAAGCGGCGGCTGGCGGCGGCGGTGGGTTGCCGGCGGGCGGCGATGACGACGGTCGGCAGCGGAAGAGCTTGGCCGGCGGCGACCAAGGGAGGAGAGAGGGCAGAGGTTTTTGAGAGGAGGAGAGGGAAATTTTAAAAAAAATGAGGGTAGGTATTTTGAGTCCACGACCGGGTTTTTGTAAAACATCGCGTTTCATGCTCTTGGAAATCCTCGGCCCTGAGCCAAAAATACCTGGTCGGGTATTATTGGAGCAAGGTCGGGGGTCTATGAAACGCGGCGTTACAATCCTATGAAATCCCCGGCCTTGAGCCAAAAATACCCGGTCGGGTTTTTTGGGCCAAGGTCGGGGATTTTCCCTTTGGGCGTCCCAGAAGGCAGAAGGGGTCCCGGTCACGAGCCAAAAATACCCGGTCGGGTATTTTGGCTCACGACAGGGTATTTTACCCTTCCGGCCAAAATTCTCATTCTCCCAAATTTTCAAACTCCCCTGCACGAAAACACCAAACCGAGACATAACCGACGACCGGACTTCAACACAAACATGCAATTAACTCAACACGACACAAAAACACAGAAAAGGGGGAAAAGAAATGCAAACCGTGGTGGGGTTGCCTTCCCACAAGCGCTTCTATACCGTCTTTTAGCTGGACGCCCATGGTGGATACTCAGCGGGGTGCAGGAACAGGCGCCTCCAAGAGCGGATCCACATTGCTCTTGAGGTACAGCTTCAGATTGCGGCCATGCACCAGACGGGTGCGACCACCAGCATTGGTCAGCTCCACCTGGCCATCCGGGAAGAAGCAGGCGAGTGAGTACTCGGATGGCCAGGGTGGTCGTGGTGCAGGAGGTGGAACCAGCTCATAGTGGTCTCCACCTTTCTTCCGTGCAGGCTTAGCCACCTGCTGCTTCGATTGACACTCCTCTTTGATCCTTTTGTTAGGTGGTGAGGTTAAAGGGAGTGGCGGCGCAGGCGTGAGAGGGGGATCCTGCAAAACGAGATGCACAGGGGGGTACACGACCGGCTCGTGTACCTGGTGAGAAATAGCATGCATAGGTGTGACAGCAAGCATATCACAATGATCAAGGTCAGCCACAGAAAAAGTAGCTTGTTCATTCCCAGCACGCAAGATCAGTTTACCACTATGCACATCAATAAGTGCCTTGGTGGTGGCAAGAAATGGTCTACCTAGAATCAAAGGCACATCCACATCCTCATTTATATCCAGAATGGCCCGTGAAGGTCGCCATGGGTAACTCCAGCTCCAATGGCCCTTCTGGTTGTGGGAGAAAGTCATCAGTACAAAAGACTGCAGTTGGAACCCCCGTCAAGTGAAGAAAAAAGAAAAAGAAAAGAAATGTAAAATGAGAGTGAAAAAGGGGTTCCAACAGTGAAATGAAGTGAAAGAGCACCCCGGTACAATGAGTCCTTGGTTGTGAATGGTGTGAGTCCCTTTACCCATGAACTGGTTGTCTTACTTCAACTTCTTCTCATGATCCAGGCTTGAGTCTAGTACTCGCATTGAGACAGATGGGGGACGTCATAGAAGAACAATTGACCTCGTAAGCTGCTATATGATCTAGGAAATCCTCTACCGACGATCGGGGTTGTTTGTTGCTATAGAGCTCTGGAGAGCTGGATTGGTTGGAGTTAGGTTTGCTTGGGGACAAGCAAACAGTTAAGTGTGGGGGAATTTGAGTGACCAATAATTACACATGTTTATACCTCTATTCTTGAGCCGTTTGAGAGTCGATTCTCGTGTTTTAAGCCGATTTCATGCTAGGTTGAGTGTTTATATAATATTTTAGGACGTGGCATTGACGTGAAGGCGAGGAAATGAGTTTCGGGTCAAAAGGAAGACGTTGGATTAGAAGGGTGATGGAGGAGCAAAATACCCGACCATGAGTAATAAAACCTGGCCAGGTAAATCGTTAAGAGAGGTCGGGGAAAACCATTTTTGGACGTCGAGAAACAAGAGGGGTCCCGGACAGAGAGCAAAAATACCTGATCAAGTATTTTGGGCCTCGATCGGGTATTAACCACTTTGGTGCTGCGCTGCGTTTCAAAATCAACGGCCGGACACTGGAAATACCCGACCGGGGATTACGATCGGGGATCACGAACAGCTGGGTTTTAAGGGAAAGAAGGCCAATTTTGCAAGGGTTCCGAGTTTTAGAGAGACGAAGCGTATACCTAGAGAGAAAGTGACGAACCTGATTCTTCAAGCTCCCTAGATCGATCTTCATCACCATTGGAGCCCAGCTTGAGCTTGGAGAAGTGCTTATTGATTGCCAGAAGCAGAATCCCATCCTTCACAGTATGGTTTCCGCATCTGAGCTAGATTTCCCGTCTCTCTCTGTGGAGTAACTTTCTCATTCACCTAGTTATGAAGAACCCTAGATTTTATATGTTAGGTCTGATTGTATGAACCCAAGTATGAATTCAGTGATATGATTATATTCAATTGAGGTTTGATTCCTTAAATGGCATGAGTCCTTATCAAATTCCTGTTATTTCTGCTTTGACCTAGAAAGAGAATATATGCCTAGGTTGATAGAGCACCCTTGATTGAAGGTAGTGAATTGACGACTTTAGTTGAATAGCCAATTCACTATTCTGGACTGGATTTACTTCGGTATAGGAGGTTTGGCTTGTTAGGGCCTCAATCTGTTTACTCCGGTGGTGGTTAGTCGCCCGCTGGGGACTCAGATTGAGAGGGTCTGGAGACCTTTAGTCGAGACTTTAGAATGTTTAAGAACCTCCCGCAACATAACTATCATTGGACTTGAACTTGGTAAATTACAACCTGGCTTAACTGCAGTCTAGGGAGAACCATATCTGGGTGACCTCTCTTAACTTGAACACAACTTTCACTGCTTTGCTTGTTAGTTTAACTAAACCTTCACTACACTTGAACCGCTAGAAAACAAGACTTTCATGGAGTAGTCATCACACCTAGGACCCGGGTTGACAATTAGAACTGAACCCGTATACTACGCATTAGTAGGTGGTTACACTTGGCCACTTTCTAGTGTGACGGTAGAGGCGTGTCAAAGCTACTACTTATTATGTTGATCTTTGAGTCCCCTTTGCTCCAGTCTCGAATGGAGGTAAAAGTATATCTTAACTTTAACTGGTGATTTTAGTAAGAAACTACGGTTTTACTTCATGCTTGCAAAATCATATACACTTGAGGTGTTTAAGAAATTGCAGAGCTATGTGGAAAATGAAACTAGTTTAAGTACAAAGTGTCTTAGAACAGACAAAAATGGTGAGATTTATGTTAAAGGTATTCAAAAGCTTGCGTGAGGAAGCTAGTATAAAGAGAAAACTCATTGTTGCCCTCACACCACAACATAATGGGGTAGTTGAGAGGAAGAAAATAATTTTAATGAACATGGTAAGGTGTGTGCTGGAACACTACAAAGTTCACTTTCTTTTAGCCAGAAAACTGTGACATGGATTGCGCCTGTCCTAAACAGAAGTCCAACAACAGCTTACAATGAAAAGACTTCACAGGAACTCTGGATAGGAAATCCTCCATTTGAGTGTTTGAGTGTGTGGGCTATGTCCACATTCCAAATCACCAAACAAAGAATCTAGATAATAAGAGTGTAAGATGTCAATTCTTGGGCATCTTAGTTGAATACAAAGCCTACAAATTGTACAACCCAACTACGAAAAAGTGATTGTTAGCAGGGATGTAATATTTGATGATAAGAAAAGGGTGGCATTGAAAATCAGAAATACAACTGTGGTTGTACTTACTAAGATTTACTAGGGAGGAAGTGATGGTGAATGATATGATTCATTAGGTGAAGAAAAAGGTGTTGATGCTGCTATACCAGCAATATAAAATCAAATATAATCCAACAAATCACTCTAGAACCAGTAAATACCCTAATAACCTGATGAAGATATGGGAGAAGAAGTGGAAGACAACTATGGTTCTCCTACTGATGTGCTAGAACTTTCTAGTACATACTTGGATCACGGTGTAAGAAAACGACCTTCTCGTCTATCTATTTATGAATGCATTATTGCAGTTACAAACTCGAGAGCAATGGTGGCAGTCTCAGATGATCCTCTAATCTATGAGGAAGCAGTAACCGATCGTAAATGGAATGTTGCTATGAACACAAAAATATCATCTATTGAAAAGGATCTCACGCAAAAGTTAACTGAAGCTCCAACAGGTGTTATTCCAATCAGGCTCAAGTGGGTTCCCAGAACTAAGTACAAGGAAGATGGTACTGTTGAAAAGTACAAGACTAGAGTTGTGCCTTGAGGCTTCACTCAAAAGCAAGGAATCGACTACAGTAAGTTATTTTCTCTCGTTTTTCCTTGAGATACTATCAAAACCTTATTGGATTTTGAATTTTTGATGCATTTCATGGTTTTGTTGTCTATAAGTTAGATGTAAGGAGTATTTTTTGTATGTTGAACCGACTGAGGATATATATGTAAAGCAACCTCAAGGATTAGTGGTTATTTGGAGAGGAATCATAGGTGTATAAGTTACAAAATCACTCTATGGTCTAAAACAAGCCCTTAGGATAGCGAAATTGACGCTTACTTTCTCAATTCTAGCTTTGAAAGGAGTACATATGATCATACATTGTTCATAAAAAGGTAGAAGGTTGTATACTGATTGTTAGCTTGTATGTGGATGATCTAATGTATACTAGCAACTTTCCTGAGTTGATTATAGAATTAAAGTCATCTATGGTGGTTGAGTTTGAGATGACTAATCTGGGTAAGATGACATATTTTTTGGGATTTGAAATAATTCAGAGAGAAGTTGGGATTTTTATGCAAACAAAAGTATGTTAAAGGCAGGAGATAGTGTTCTTTGTTTGCAACTTTGAGGGGAAAAAAACCATTGCACTAGGAGCAAAGATGTAAAAGGCAGGAGATAGTGTTCTGGTTAATACAACAAAGTACAAGAGGTTAATTGGTAGCATGTTGTATCTTACAATAATCAGACCAAATCCTATGTTCTTTGTTTGCCTTCTCAGTAGATACATGGAGGCACCTATAAGGCTTCATATGTTTGCTGTTAAAAGGGTACTCAGATACCTACAAGGAATAATGAACTTTGAGATTTGGTATAAGAGGAGAATTGAAGAAGGCTGCTTAATGAGATATACTGACAGTGATTATGCATGTGACATGGATGACAGGAAAAGTACTAGTGGACATGCTTTCATTCTTAGAATTAAATTTTTTTCTTGGGCATCAAAGAAACAACCAGTCGTAACATTGTTAACTACTAAGGCTAAGTTTGTAGTTGCATCCTCCTAAGCAGTACAATGTGTCTAACTTAGAAGCATTTTTTAAGCAAATTGGATGGCAAGAAAGTGTATAAGGTATCACTAACTTCCTATGTGACAATAATTCAACTATTAAGCTCTCAAAGAACCTTGTACTTCATGGGAGAAGTAAGCATATAGATGCACGATTTCACTTCCTAAGGGATCTAGCAAAAGAAGGCATTGTAGATTTGAAGCACTACAAAACACATGAATAGGATGCTAATGTGATGACAAAAGTTCTAAAACTAGAGAACTCTCAATTGTTAAGGGGCAGGTTGGTCATTGACTCACTCTTACTGTCACTCTAGAAAATGGCCAAGTGTAACCATTTCCTAAAGCGTAGTATAGCGGGTTTGGGTATTAAATTCAACCCGGGTCCTAGATGTGATGACTACTCAGCGAATTCTTATTATTTAGCGGTGAAACTTTAGTGCAGGTTCAAACAAGAAAAGCAAGCAAGCAATTAAATGGGTGTTTTCAAGTAAAGAGTGGTCACCCGGATATGGTTCCCCCTAGACTGCAGTTAAGCCGAATTGTAATTAACCAAGTTCAATTCCTAAGGTAGTTATACTGCGGGAGGTTCTTAAGTAGTCAGAAGTCTCGACTAAAGGTCTCTAGAACCTCTCAATCTGAGTCTCCAGCGGGCGACTAACCTCCACCGGAGTAAACAGATTGAGGCCCTATTGAACTAAACCTTCGGTACATAATAGTGAATTGGCTCCTTGACTCGCTACGACACAACTCCTAACAAAGGCCAAGTGTAACCAATGAAAGGGACTGCAGTAAAGTGGCTCAAGTAATAAATATCGAATCCACGGGTCTCTAGAGTTACTATTACTCAGCTTCAGTTTATTATTTAGCAAACTAGATTAAGATGAAAGAACTAAAACTACTCTAGTAAACTACAGTTAAAGTTAATCAAATTACAGTTTGGGAACTAACTTAGGTATAATTCCCCCTAGCCACTAGCCAGACTAAAGATTGATGATTTCTAACTTGTTTCACTTTCATTCACAATGCGGAGAATCCTTGACTAGACCTTGAGTCTCGACTAAAGGAACATGGCCCTCTTGAGTCAATTGCCTAGTGGGACATATCCTTCTCTAGAACAACCAATCAAAGCGTTCTGAACTAGATTCCCTCTATCAAATGAGGTTCTCAATCGATACAAAGCAGTGAATCAACCCTCGACTAAAGCGATTGATCCACTACTATCAATCTATGGTGCTCTATTGACCTAATCAGGTATTCACTCTCGTAGGATCAAAGCAGAATCAATAATCTCGACTAAAGTTGAATTGAATCATGAAAACATGCATAGATTGAATATGAACTCAAGGTTATCAAGTCATAGTACTCATACAATCATCCAATCGAACAAACATAGCTAGGGTTCCTCAAAACCTAAGTGAAGGGAAGTTACTCCATAGAGAAGAGAGAGACTGCAGTAAGAATCTTCAGATGATCAGTCTTCAAGTCCGGGCTTGTTCCTCGAGCTTCCAAGGCAAAGAAATCCTCCAATTCCACTCTTAGAATGCCCTCAAATCTCCCCCTCTCTCTCTTTGGTTCGTCCCTTGGGTGTTTGGGATCCAAAACCCAACTCTCTCTTTCCTTTGGCTTCAATCTGCATAAAAAACCCGATTCTGGGCAAAACACGGTCGAGGATACAGCCATGTTTTGCTTTTGCCCGCCCGTGTTTTTCCCCCAGAATCCCTCGTCGGCCAAAACACGGTCGTGCCTAAATATGGACACGGCCGTGTTTTGCTTTAGGCGCGCCCGTGTTTTTACTGCCGAACATGTTCCCCTATATTCAATGCTTCGTTTCTCCCTCGTCCGGACTCCGAATCAGTCGCCGCATGATCCCAGACGCTAGTAGTCTCGTCCTCTTTCTTTTCATGACAAGCTTGCATGATTCTTTGTCCATAAAATGAGGTAGAAATCCATTCTTCTTTAGGTCATGCCCGAGTTTCTTCTCCCTAATCGCCAATTGATCTCTGATTGACTTGAAACTTGCACCTATGCTTCACTTTATATGCTAGGACCTGAAATGTGACGAATGAACACAACCTAGCGTAAAATAGGCCAAAGACGCGATAATTAACGCTCAAACGATCAAGAAACAAAGGGGAAAACATGAGCAAATATCGAGTCATCAAATCCCCCCTCACTTAACCGTTTGCTTGTCCCCAAGCAAACCTAACTCAAACCAATGCAGCTCTCCTGATCTCTATAGCAACATACAACCCCGATCGTCGGTAGAGGATTTCCTAGATCATATAGCAGCTTACGAGGTCAACTAGTCTTCTAAGACGTCCCCTATCTCTCTCAATGTGAGTTCTAGACTCAAGCCAGGATCATGATAAGAAGTAGAAGTAAGACACTCAGTTCATGGATAAAGGGACTCACACCATTCACAATCAAGGACTCGAGATACCGGGGTGCTCTTTCACTTCATTTCACCGTTGGAACCCCTTTTTCACTTCCATTTTACTTTTATTTTCCATTCACTTAGCGGGTCGACCCTTATTAGTCAAGCAAGAGCAATTTTTGTACATCTGGCGCTCGCCAGAGTACTTCATTTAACTCCTTTTCCTCAAATCGTGTGGAGGGTCAATGAAATTAAGGGGGGTCGGAAGCTCTATCCGTGCCCTTGAAAACACATCCTCAAGTAGGCAAACCGTTCAACGGGTGGAAGTTTTACTTGTACTAAAGACAGCTTAGCTTCACCTTGTAGGAGTATCCCACTAAGGATCACTAAAATCTCTTCCAAAACCCGATTTTGTGCAATGAACGGTGTTGCACACGTTGGGCTTACGCCAGGTTTAAGATTTCGATGATTTCGACATGAGGACCAACTGCATTTCATTTTTCACTTGAGCACCCTGTTCGTTACACGAGTACATAACACAATCCAAATAGAGTCACCATTATCACATGAATTCAACGGTCCTAGCTCCACTAATTCACAAAATCAACTGGCACAACAGAAAGCTAGATAGGAAAAATCTTATACTTCAACATCCTCCATAGTGCTACACTACCTCCCTAAGTTGCACATTACTATAGAGACTGTCAATTCAAAGCATACTGAGCAGGTAATTTGCAAGGAAACACGTACTTGGAGCCCTCAGATTTAAAAATTTGGACAGTGGACTAGGCCTAAATAGCTGGTCGGGTATTTTGGGTGGCGACCGGGTATGTGCAAAACACACCGTTAACAGGGGAAAATCCCCGATCATGGCCAAGAATCCCCGACCGGGGATATCTGCTTCCTGCCCGGGTCCCCCTTCTGTTTCTCAAAGACGCCTGAAACGTCAAATCCCCGGTCATGGCCAAATAATACACTGTCGGGTATTTCTGCTCATGGCCGGGTATTTTTGCTCTCCAGCACACTTCAAACCTCACATGCTCCTTTTGACTCGAATCTCGTTCCTTCGCCTCCATTTCAACGCTAAGCCCTGAAATATGACATAAACGCACAACCTAGCATGAAATCGGCTTAAAACACGAGAATCAATGTCTCAAACGGCTCAAGAATAGGGGTAAGAACATGTGTAATTAATGGTCTATCAAACTCCCCCACACTTAACCGTTTTCTTGTCTCCATGCAAACCTAACTCAAACCAATGCAACTCTCTAGACCTCTATAGCAACAAACAACCCCGATCGTCGGTAGAGGATTTCCTAGATCATATAGCAGCTTACGAGGTCAACTGGTTTTCTAAGACGTTCCCTATCTCTCTCAATGCGAGTACTAGACTCAAGCTAGGATCATGAGAAGAAGTAGAAGTAAGACAGTCAGTTCATGGATAAAGGGACTCATATCATTCACAACCAAGGACTCGTTGTAACGGGGTGCTCTTTTCACTTCATTTCACCGTTGGAAGCCCTTTTTCACTTTCACTTTATTTCTTTTTCTTTTTCTCTTTTATTTTTATTCACTTAGCGGGGGTTCCAACTGCAGTCTTTTGCATGGTCTACCCATATTAGTCGAGCAAGAGCAATTTCTGTACATCTGGCGCTCACCAGAGTACTACTTTTAACTCCTTTTCCTCAACTCGTGTGGAGGTTCAATGAAATTAAGGGGGGTCGGAAGCTCTATCCATACCTTAAAAACACATCCTCGAGTAGGCAAACCATTCAATGGGTGGAAGTTTTACTTGTACTAGAGACGGCTTAGCTTCACCTTGTAGGAGTACCCCACTAAGGATCACTAAAATCTCTTCCAAAACCCGATTTTGTGCAATAAACGGTGCCACACACGTTGGGCTTACCCCATGTTTAAGATTTAATGATTTCTATAAGGAGGACCAACTACATTTCAATTTTCACATAAGCACCCTGTTCGATACACGAGTCCATAACACAATCCACATAGAGTCGGCATTATCATATGAATTCAATGGTCCTAGCTCCACTTATTCACAAAATCAACTGGCACAACAGAGAGCTAGATAGGAAAAATCTTATACTTCAACATCCTCCATAGTGCTACACTACCTCCCTAGGTTGCACATTACTATAGAGACTGTCAATTCAAAGCATACTGAGCAGGCAATTTGCAAGGAAACACGTACTTGGAGCCCTCAAATTTAAAAATTTGGACAGTGGACTAGGCTCCAAGCACACAAACAGATCTAATGTAGTCAAAAGAGAAACATCCCCCCCCCCCCCACACACACACTTAAGATCGACATTGCCCTCAATGGAGAAGAGGGAAGGACAAGGGGAACGATGTTACCGGTGTGCACGGACTGCAAGAGACTGGAAAGGGACCAGTCTGGGTGAAGCAGACTGGAGAAGGGACCAGTAAGGGACAAAGCACAGCTAAATGGAGCAAAAGAACTCAAACACAGTGGGTTAGGTCCAATAGTCAGCCGAATAGTACATCATTTAAAATCAAAAGAAATAAAAGAAAATAAACCAACACACAAGACAGTTTGCATTCTGATAGAAATGAAAACAACACAAAACGGGCCACGAGTACAGCCTACTCGAGCCCGGTGAAGTCGATCTGGTCCATAAGATTGTCGACCCCCTCTGGAGGTGGTGATGGTGGTCGCAGTGGCGAGTGATCCCACTGGGTGGTCCAGTGGTGCTCCACTGGTGGGTGACAAGTCTGGAGCAGGTGTTCCGAGTACTCCATCAATCGGCGGCCAAGATCCCGCTCCCGCTCGATGAGAGAACTAGTGACTCCCATCTGGGCCTCCATCCGGTCGAGGCGCTCATCTACGACCGTCATCCTGGTGGGCCGAATACTGCTGGTAGAACTGGACCTGATTGTCCATGAGCTGCTGGTTCAGAAGCCTGAGCTGCTGGAACTGGAGCCCCACCTACTGGAACTGCTCGGTGAAGAAGTCCATCGATGGGATAGAAGCCATCGATGGACCAGAAGGACCGGAGGAGGACTCGCCTCTCTCTGATCTCCGTAGTGGCCGAAGGTCCCATGGTGGAGGGAGTGGGGGCTCCAGCTCATCAGCATCCATGGCCCCGCCATCATCATCAGCATCCATAGCGAAGGAGAGCTCCTGTAGGCAGTGGAGCTGCTCAAAAACTGTCCACTCCAGATGGTGGTGGCGCTCCAATTTCCCCCGGATGACCTTGCGGAACTGGTCCGAGTAATCCCGGTGCAGGCTCAGGTCCTGCACAAATGGATGGTCGAGTGACATGCTCCTGCAAAATCAGCAAACCAAAGGTGGAGCCAAGAAAAACTTGTCAGGACCAACAATATGGGTTCATTACTTCCCCCACACTTAAGGATCACCTAGGCTAGCAGGTTAAGCATAACCGGTTGAATTGCAAGATACTCAACCATAATCAAGGCAAGAAGCAAACACAACCCACCAATTTAATCATCCGGGCAGCACACACACAATAGTCATGGCCAATCATACACAAGTCATCCCTCACCCTATTCTAATTTAAGCATGTCAGGCAATCACAGTTCTCGGTCCTACAATCTACAGTTCGATTTTCCAAAAAAAGAGTAGTAAACAAGAAACAAACCTGGAAACTCAAGTAGAACTGTAGCTAGGGCGCAAAAAACGGGCGAGGGACGCTAAAAAGGGCCAAAAACGACCCAGGAGGCTCGTCGGAAAGTTGGCCGGAAAGTCGCCAGAAAATTGGCCGGAAAGTCTCAGGAAAATGACCGGCGACGGGGGGCGGTGGAAGGCGGCGGCCGGCGGCTGGTTGCCGACGGGCGGCGACGACGACGGTCGGCGGCGGAAGAGCTTGGCCGGCGGCGACCAACGGAGGAGAGAGGGCAGAGGTTTTTGAGAGGAGGAGAGGGAAATTTTGAAAAAAATGAGGGTAGAGAGAGAAAACTAACCGGGGGTTTGCTTAAATAGCGAAAATCCCCGGTCGGGTATTTTGAGTCCACGACCGGGTTTTTGTAAAACATCGCGTTTGATGCTCTTGGAAATCCTCGGCCTTGAGCCAAAAATACCCGGTCGGGTATTTTTGGGGCAAGGTCGGGGGTCTCTGAAACGCGACGTTACAATCCTGGGAAATCCTCGGCCTTGAGCCAAAAATACCCAGTCGCGTATTTTTGGGCGAAGGTCGGATATTTTCCCTTTGGGCGCCCGAGAAGGCAGAAGGGGTCCCGGTCACGAGCCAAAAATACCCGTTCGGGTATCTTGGCTCACGACCGGGTATTTTACCCTTCCGGCCAAAATTCTCATTCTCCCAAATTTTCAACCTCCCCTGCACGAAAACACCAAACCGAGACATAACCGACAACCGAACTTCAACACAGACATGCAACTAACTCAACACGACACAAAAACACAGAAAAGGGGAAAAAGAAATGCAAACCGTGGTGGGGTTGCCTTCCCACAAGCGCTTCTATACCGTCTTTTAGCTGGACGACCATGGTGGATACTCAGCGGGGTGCAGGAACAGGCGCCTCCAAGAGCGGATCCACATCGCTCTTGAGGTACAGCTTCAGATTGCGGCCATGCACCAGACGGGTGCGACCACCAGCATTGGTCAGCTCGACCTGGCCATCCGGCAAGAAGCAGGCGAGTGAGTACTCGGATGGCCAGGGTGGTCGTGGTGCAGGAGGTGGAACCAGCTCATAGTGGTCTCCACCTTTCTTCCGTGCAGGTTTAGCCACCTGCTGCTTCCACCGACACTCCTCTTTGATCCTTTTGTTAGGTGGTGAGGTTGAAGGGAGTGGCAGCGTAGGCGTGAGAGGGGGATCCTGCAAAACGAGATGCACAGGGGGGTACACGACAGACTCGTGTACCTGGTGAGAAATAGCATGCATAGGTGTGACAGCAAGCATATCACAATGATCAAGGTCAGCCACAGAAAAAGTAGCGTGTTCATTCCCAGCACACAAGATCAGTTTACCGCTATGCACATCAATAAGTGCCTTGGCGGTGGCAAGAAATGGTCTACCCAGAATCAAAGCACATCCACATCCTCATTTATATCCAGAACAACAAAATCAATAGGATACGTGAATGCACCTACTTTAACAAGCAGATCCTCTATGATACCCCTAGGATGCACAATAGAGCGATCAGCTAACTGAATGCTCATCCTAGCAGGGCTAAGTTCACCTAGGAGACAACAGCGAGCTAGACTGGCTACGGGTCATGCACTACCTGCACACAGTCAAGCAAGCAAACCCGTGAAGGCACAAGTGTGACAAAGTAAACAATGCGAAAACGAAAAGCTAAATTAACAGAATTCACGTTTCTTCAACAACCTAGCCGTCCCCGGCAACGGCGCCAAAAACTTGACTCACTCTTACTGTCACTCTAGAAAATGGCCAAGTGTAACCACTTCCTAAAGCGTAGTATAGCGGGTTTGGGTTTTAATGTCAACCCGGCTCCTAAATGTGATGACAACTCAGCGAATTCTTATTATTTAGAGGTGAAACTTTAGTGCAGGTTCAAACAAGCAAAGCAAGCAAGCAATTAAACGGGTGTTTTCAAGTCATGAGAGGTCACCCGGATATGGTTCCCCCTAGACTGCAGTTAAGCCGAATTGTAATTAACCAAGTTCAATTCCTAAGATAGTTATACTACGGGAGGTTCTTAAGCTGTCTGAAGTCTCGACTAAAGGTCTCCAGACCCTCTCAATCTGAATCTCCAGCGGGCGACTAACCTCCACTGGAGTAAACAGATTGAGGCCCTAACGAACCAAACCTCCACTACCGAAGTAAATTCGGTACAGAATAGTGAATTGGCTCCTCGACTAAAGTCGCCAATTCACTACCTTCAATTAAGGGTGCTCTATCAACCTAGGCAGATATTCTCTTTCTAGATAAAGCAGAAACAACAGGAATTTGATCAGGATTCATGCCATTCAATAAATCAAACCTCAATTGAATATAATCAAATCATAGAATCTAACTCGACTCTACTGTCACTCCAGGAATTGGCCAAGTGAAACCACTTCCTAAAGCGTAGTATAGTGGGTTTGGGTTTAATTATCAACCCGGGTCCTAGATATGATGACTACTCAGTGAATTCGTGTTATCTAGCAATGAAACTGGAATGCAAGTCTAAACTATCAAACTAACAAAGCAAGTAAACTGTTGTATTCAGGTTAAAGAGGTCACCCGGATATGGTTCCCCCCAGACTGTAGTTAAGCCGGATTGTAATTACCAAGTTCAGTTTCTATAAAAGTTATACTGCGAAAGGTTCTTAAACAGCCTGAAGTCTCGACTAAAGGTTTTCAGACCCTCTCAATCTGAATCTCTAGCGGGCGACTAACCTCCACCGGAGTAGACAGATTGAGGCCCTAAGAACGAAACCTCCACTACCGGAGGAAATCCGGTACAGAACAATGAGTTGGTTCCTCGACTAAAGTCACCAACTCCCTACCTTCAATCAAGGATACTCTATTAACCTAGGTAGATATTCTCATTCTAGGTTAAAGCAGAAACAACAGGAATTTGATCAGGATTCAAGTCATTCAATCATTAAAACCTCAATCGAATACAATCAATCATAGAATCAGTACTTGGGTTCATACAATCAAACCTAACATACAAATCTAGGGTTCTCCATACCCAGATGAATGGGAGAACTACTCCATGGAGAAGAAAGCAAAAGCAGAATCAGACGCGGAATTCATACTGTGAAGGATGGATTCCTGCTCCTGGACGTTGATCGGCACTTCTCCAAGCTCAAACTGGCCTCCACTGGTGTTGAAGATCAATCTAGGGCACTTGGGAACTCTTGCTCGTCACTTTCTCTCTCTAGGAATCGTTCTATCTCTCAAAAACTCGAATCCCCCTGACTTGTGGCTGAAAATCTGCTTAAAAGCATCAGTGGCCAAAGCACGGTCGAGGGCACGGCCGTGCTTTGCCTGAGCCCGCCCGTGCTTTGGCTAGGGTTAATTACACGGCCATTGTGTTGGTGAAAACACGGCCGTGCTTTGGGAGAACACGCCCGTGCTTTGGGAGAACATGCCCGTGCTTTGGGAGAACACGCCCGTGTTCTATCTCAGCCCTGCCCGTGTTTTGGCCAATGTGGTCCAAACTCAAATTAGCTCTCGGCAGTAAAAGCACGGTCACAGAACACGGCCGTGTAATGATTTAGGTGTGCCCGTGTTTTGGCTCCAGCTTGACGAAATGACCTCCGAATGCCCCGAAACTCGCGCTTAGCCTTCCCTTTGACACCTGGGACCTGAAACATGACAAAATAGCACAACCCAGCGTATAATAGGCCAAAACACACGACTATGCCCCTCAAACGGATAAGAACTAGGGGCGCAAATATGTGCAATTACATCGTTATCAAACTCCCCCACACTTAACCGTTTGCTTGTCCCCAAGCAAACCTAACTCAAACCAATGCAGCTCTCCAGACCTCTATAGCAACAAACAACCCAGATCGTAGGTAGAGGACTTCCTAGATCATTTAGCAACTTACGAGGTCAACCGATGCACAAGTCATCTCATAGCTTCTTCGGCGAGAGCACTAATATCGAGTCGGCATCATGGCAAATAGTGAACAGAGGACAAATGAATCGTGGATGAAGAGATTCTCAAAAACAAAAGATCATGGACTCACATTTTTCAAGGTGCTCTATTTTCTTTGAAGATGGTTGGAACCCCTTTTTTTCTGTTTTGCTTGTTTTCTGTTATTTTTTCTTTTCTTTTCTTTTCAAGGGTCCCAACCTGCTCTTACCGGCCATGCCAGGAGAGGATGTCTCGAGCCTCGTGAGGGGGAAAGCCATGCAAGGGGGCTGGAGGTAGTAGGTGGAAATTGGGAACGGATTCCCGTCTCCCCTTACACACTTTCGCCCTATTCGCACAGGAGACGTTATTTTGAAGCACATTTTCGAGCACCTGTTAAACTCAAAACATGATACAAGAGTCCATGACAGGCAGAGAATCCACAACACCACACAATTCAAGGGTCCTAAGATCACTAATTCACTCAATCAACCAACACAATATGAAGAAGAAATGAGACTTCTTAAATGCATCAACATCCTCCATAGTGCTACACTACCTCCCTAGGTTGCATATTACTATAAAGACTGTCAATTCAAAGCATACTGAGCAGGCAATTGCAAGGAAACACGTACTTGGAGCCCTCAAATTTTAAAAATTTGGACAGTGGACTAGGCTCCAAGCACACAAACAGATCTAATGCAGTCAAAAGATAAACATCCCCCCACACTTAAGATCGACATTGCCCTCAATGGAGAAGAGGGAAGGGAAAGGGAAAGATGTTACCGGTATGCACGGACTGCAGGAGACTGGAAGCGGGCCAGTCGGGGCAAGCACAGCCAAAGGGAAACAGAAGAGCTCAAACACAATATGTTAGGTTCAATGGTCAACCCAATAAAATATCATCCAAACCAAAAGAAAACAAACCAAACCCAAACCGGATTACAATCCGACTCAAAACACAAAAAAGAAAATCAAACCGTGGTGGGGTTGCCTCCCCACAAGCGCTTCTTTACCGTCTTTTAGCTGGACGCCCATGGTGGATACTCAGGGCGGTGCAGGAACAGGTGCCTCCAAGAGCGGATCCACGTCGCTCTTGAGGTACAGCTTAAGGTTGTGGCCATGCACCTGACGAATGCGACCACCATCATCTGTCAGCTCGACCTGGCCATCTGGCAAGATGCAGGCGAGTGAGTACCCAGACGGCCAGGGTGGTCGTGGTGCAGGGGGTGGGACCAGCTCATAGTGGTCTCCACTCTTCTTCCGCGCAGGCTTAGCAACCTGCTGCTTCGGCCGCCACTCCTCCTTGAGCTTTTTGTTCGGAGGCGAGGCTGGATGGAGTGGCGGCAAAGGAATGATAGGGGGGTCCTGCAAAATAGGAGGTGCAGAAGGGTACACGACAGACTCGTGTACCTGATCAAAAATGGCATGCACAGGCGTGACAGCAATCATAGCACAGTGATCAAACTCAGTCACAGAAAAAGTAGTTTGTTCATTCCCAGCACGCAAGATCAATTTACCATCATGCACATCAATAAGTGCCTTGGCGGTGGCGAGAAATGGCCTACCTAGAATCAAAGGCACATCCACATCCTCATGTATATCAAGAATAACAAAATCAACAGGATATGTGAATGCACCTACTTTAACAAGCAGATCCTCAATGATACCCCTAGGATGCACGATAGAACGATCAGCTAACTGAATGCTCATCCTAGTAGGGCTAAGTTCACCTAGGTCTAGCTTTTTATACAACTTATATGGCATGACATTTATGCTAGCGCCTAGGTCCGCCAAGGACTTGCCTACATGCATGCTGCCAATAGTAAGAGGGATAGTAAAACTCCCTGGATCCTTGCGCTTCTCGGGCAGCTTGTTCTGCAGGATAGCAGAACACTCCTCGCTCAGCATCACTGTCGAAAGATCCCCAAGTTTCTTCTTGTCGGTGAGGAGGTCTTTCATGAACTTGGCATACTTGGGCATCTTCGACAGTGCCTCCACGAACGGTATGCTGATGTTGAGCTGCTTCAACATTGCCATAAACTTGGCAAACTCAGTCTCCAGCTTGTCTTTGTGTAGGCGAGTGGGGAAGGGAAGCTGGGGCACACGCTCCTTAACCACTGGTTGTGGCTTGGGGGCAGGGGCTTCCTTCTCCACCCGCACTTCTGCATCGTCGGCTGGAAGTGCTGAAGCAGGTAGTGGTTCCTCCTGTCTGGCCGGGACAGGATCAGCAGATATGGTCTTACCGCTCCTGGTAAAAATGGCATCCAGCTGCTGATGCTGGTGAGGCTCTCGAGGATTCGGAACGGTGGTGGCAGGCAGAGTCCCCGGTGCCCTGGTGGTGTTTTGGCGGGCCAAGATGCCCACCTGGGTCTGCAGATCCTGCAAAATGGCACCCTGGTTCCGCTGACCTGCCTCCAGTGATGTGATAGCAGCCTGAGTGCTATTCATGAATGAAGCTAGAATGTTTTCCAGCTTCTTCATGCTGTCATCTGGGGCGGGAGCTGATGCTGGCTCGGCAAACTGGCGCTGGGGCTGCTGGAATGGCTGCCCCTGCCTAGGCTGGTAGGGCTGCTGCTGTGGGTCTGGCCTTTGGCGAGCCTGGAAGGGCTGCCTCTGCTGAAAACCACCTGCTGGTGCTGGGAAACCAGGTGGTTTAGTGGTGTTGCTGCTCCATGCGAAGTTGGGATGCTGGCGCCACCCCTCATTATATGTGCTACTGTATGGATCGAGGCGCCCCGCATTGGCAATGAAGGCCAACTGCTCCTGGGGTGTGGTAGACTCCCTCATAGCCTGGCAGTCCTCCACTAGGTGATTGGAGCTCTCACACCACCGACATTGAGCTACTGGAGGTGTAGCCAAACCTCTGCCCGGAATAAGACTGTTGGGCTGCTTCAATGTCTGCACTAGCTCAGCTACCTGCTGCTCAAGCCCGGATCTGGTCTCCATGGCGTGCACACCACGGTCCCGGGACTGTCTGCCTCGGCTACCCTGTCCCCAAGAATGATCTCTGGCAGCCAAAGTACTGATCATCTGGTTCAGCTCGGGTGGAGTCTTAGTGAGAATATCCCCTCCTGGGCATAGAGACTCAATCACCCGCTGGCTGTCTGGAGAGAGGGCACTGTAGAAGTTCCCCACTGTGAATGCATCACTGAAACCATGATGGGGACACTGCCAGAAATATCCCATGTACCGCTCCCATGCATCACGAAGTGACTCATCTGGCTCTTGGCGGAAGTGAGTGATCTCCCGCTGTATCTCTGTAGTCTTCGATGCCGGATAGTACCTAAGTGCACGAACTTGTCAGCCAGATCGTCCCAAGAGGTGATGGACAATGGGGGCTGGGTCTCCAACCACCTCTTAGCATTCCCCACCAGAGAATGGTGGAAGAGGTGAAGGCGGATTGCATCATCCGGGACACCATTCAGCTTGAACCCGTTCGTCAGCTGCAGAATACGGGAAAGATGTACCCTGGCCTCCTCATCCTTCAAGCCATGGAACTGGATAGAGGATGTGATGAGCTGAATCCAGCATGGCTTGATCTCGAAGTTATTTGCTGGAATAGGCGGGTAGAGGATGACCGGGCGGATGTCAGCAATCCGCGGAGTGTAGTAGTACTCCAAGGTGGGACCCGGCTGCGGTGGATGATGAACTCCATGATCCTGGGGTCTGGGGTTGTTCCCTAGGACCTGATTCACCGGGGGAGCCTGCTGAGGATTCTCCTGGTGTTGATTGTAGTCTTCCATCTCGTACTCCTCCTCAGAATCACTGCTCACGTGGCCGTCTATGCGCTCTTCCGTAGCCAGTCTAGCTCGCTGTTGTCTCCTGAGCTGGTGACAGGTGCGGTCAATCTCTGGATTCAACGGCAGTAAACCTCCTGACTGGCTACGGGTCATGCACTACCTGCACACACTCAAGCAAGCAAACCCGTGAAGGCACGAGTGGGACAAAGCAAACAAAGCAAAAAGAAAAGCTAAATTAACAGAAATCACTTTTCTTCAACAACCTAGCCGTCCCCAGCAACGCGGGTGACCCGGGTTCGATCACCGGCAACGGCGCCAAAAACTTGACTCGACTCTACTGTCACTCCAGGAATTGGCCAAGTGAAACCACTTCCTAAAGCGTAGTATAGCGGGTTTGGGTTTAATTATCAACCCGGGTCCTAGATATGATGACTACTCAGTGAATTCGTGTTATCTAGCAATGAAACTGGAATGCAAGTCTAAACTATCAAACTAACAAAGCAAGTAAACTGTTGTATTCAGGTTAAAGAGGTCACCCGGATATGGTTCCCCCCAGACTGCAGTTAAGCCGGATTGTAATTACCAAGTTCAGTTTCTATGCAAGTTATACTGCGGAAGGTTCTTAAACAGCCTGAAGTCTCAACTAAAGGTCTTCAGACCCTCTCAATCTGAATCTCTAGCGGGCGACTAACCTCCACTGGAGTAGACAGATTGAGGGCCTAAGAACGAAACCTCCACTACCGGAGTAAATCCGGTACAGAATAGTGAGTTGGTACCTCGACTAAAGTCACCAACTCCCTACCTTCAATCAAGGATACTCTATTAACCTAGGCAGATATTCTCATTCTAGGTTAAAGCAGAAACAACAGGAATTTGATCAGGATTCAAGTCATTCAATCATTAAAACCTCAATCGAATACAATCAATCATAGAATCAGTACTTGGGTTCATACAATCAAACCTAACATACAAATCTAGGGTTCTCCATATCCAGATGAATGGGAGAACTACTCCATGGAGAAGAAAGCAAAAGCAGAATCAGACGCGGAATTCATACTGTGAAGGATGGATTCCTGCTCCTGGACGTTGATCGGCACTTCTCCAAACTCAAACTGGCCTCCAATGGTGTTGAAGATCAATCTAGGGCACTTGGGAACTCTTGCTCGTCACTTTCTCTCTCTAGGAATCGTTCTATCTCTCAAAAACTCGAATCCCCCTGACTTGTGGCTGAAAATCTGCTTAAAAGCATCAGTGGCCAAAGCACGGTCGAGGGCACGGCCGTGCTTTGTCTGAGCCCGCTCGTGCTTTGGCTAGGGTTAATTACACGGCCATTGTGTTGGTGAAAACACGGCCGTGCTTTGGGAGAACACGCCCGTGTTCTATCTCAGCCCTGCCCGTGTTTTGGCCAATGTGGTCCAAACTCAAATTAGCTCTCGGCAGTAAAAGCACGGTCACAGTACACGGCCGTGTAATGATTTAGGTGTGCCCGTGTTTAGGCTCCAGCTTGACGAAATGACCTCCGAATGCCCCGAAACTCGCGCTTAGCCTTCCCTTTGACACCTGGGACCTGAAACATGACAAAATAGCACAACCCAGCGTAAAATAGGCCAAAACACACCACTATGCCACTCAAACGGATAAGAACTAGGGGCGCAAATATGTGCAATTACATCGTTATCAGAATCTGTACTTGGGTTCATACAATCAGACCTAACATACAAATCTAGGGTTCTCCATGCCCAGATGAATGAAGAAGTTACTCCATAGAGAGAGAAGCAAAAGCAAGCTCAGATGCAAAAATCATGCTGTGAAGGATGGGTTTCTGCTCCTGGTCGTCAATCGGCACTTCTCCAAGTGTGAGCCGAGCTCCAATGATGATGAAGATCAAGGTAGGGCACTTGGGAACACTGGTTCGTCGCTTTCTCTCTCTAGGAATCGCTCTGTCTTTCTCTCAAACTCGGAATCCTTCACTTTTGGCCTTCTTTTCCCTTAAGAAGCTGTCTGTCGCGATCCCTGGTCTAAATACCCGATCTGGTATTTTGGGTGGCGACCGGGTATGTGCAAAATGCACCATTGTGCAACAGGGGAAAATCCCCGATCATGGCCAAGAATCCCCGACCGGGGATTTCTGCTTCCTGCCCGGGCCCCCTTCTGTTTCTCAAAGACGCCCAAAGCGTCAAATCCCCGGTCATGGCCAAATAATACCCGCCCGGGTATTTCTGCTCATGGTCGGGTATTTTTGCTCTCCAGCACATTTCAAACCTCATTTGCTCCTTTCGACCCGAATCTCGTTCTTTCGCCTCGATGCCAATGCTAAGCCCTGAAATATGACATAAACGCACAACCTAGAGTGAAACCGGCTTAAAACACGAGAATCAATGTCTCAAACGGCTCAAGAATAGGGGTAAAAACATGTGTAATTAATGGTCTATCAGTCATGGTTGAGCTGGATGAGTTCGAAGTTGCTGAATGAAGATTGAAAGTAAGAATGAATCAAAGACGGTGAATTGGCTTTGGTTCGGGGGAGGAATTTATTAGAATGAAGATTTGAACCCTCGTTGTTGGCGGAAGAAGAGAGTCTGGCACCAAATGTTTGAATTTAAGTTGTTTATCAATAAACTGTGTTGTTTGACATTTTGCATTTTAGTGCCTATTGTTTTATCTCATGTTAGATAAGTCAGTTAGCAGAGTTAGCCGGTGTGGTTGTTAGCATTAGCAGAGTCAAGGTAGTTAGTCATGGGAGCTACTCCCTCGGAATCAATGGATTGGGGTTGTTAGTCAAAGCCAAGTTATTGGCTTCAGCGGCGAGTCTTGTATTTATACCACATTCTCAATTATAAAATAAATTGTCAGATTGCAATACATTTGAGCTTTTCATCAATGTGTTCGCATTCTTCCTTCACACAAAATCTTCGAAATTAATTCTCCTTGAACAGAATATGTTCGAGGATCTCCTGTGTTGACGAATACTAATTATCTGTGCATATTGTCTATCTTTTTAACCACTCTCTTTACTTTTATTTATTGATTAATTAATTTTTTCACGTATTTTTTATAAATTATTGAAAAATACATTATTGTGTAATTAACTAAATATCAGATAATCTATGTGAAAAATTGAAAATTGGTAATGTTGCATGAAAATGCATAATTTGTGAGTGATCCACTTCTCCCCCATTAATAAAGATGAGAGATTGGAAACAAATAATTAGTTTACCTAAATTATTATTATTGTCCCTATTAAACAATAAACATGTTCTCTAAAAAAACAGTAAACATGTGACCCTTTAATCTATATACTTTCTCGGGATGGGATTAGGTGCTAACCCTTATAGGAGTTAGCACCGTGATAACTAGCAAAAAACGCTACTAAAAATAACGAAATTACTACGGATTATTATAAAATCAATACAACATCTAAGCTAAATCACTACTAATTCAAATTAATAATAGTTTTTCTCTTGATTAGGACGGTGCTAACTATTATACAATTAGCACCGTAACCGCTCACATACTTTCTCATGTAAGGATTTAAACATGTTTATGACCTCGAATGTTCCACACACAATTATGCGGCTCTGAATTCCGACTTCTGTTGGATCATAAAATGACAAATTAAAAGTGTAATCCCCAATGCGGTGCCGCATCCACCGCCATAATCTTGTAAACGGCGTCGGGCAGCTGCCTCTCCGTTTCCTTTCTTGCGTCTAAAGGAAACCCTCAGCGGGTTTCTTTCGCATTTCTCCTCTTCGCCGCAGAAACAACTGGACGAGGGCAGAGAGAGGAAGAGACGACGATGTCCGCCACCGTTGCTGATTTAGTGTCGTGTTCCTCTGCCGCTGCCTCCGCTTCTGGCCAGGCGTCGCGCTACGTGCTGAAATCGTCCTCTCAGCACCTCGCGCCCGCTGCCGTCGTCAGCTATCGGTATGCGCTTTACTTTCTATTTCTCTTCTCTTCTTTTTCGACGAATTTCCATGCTACAAGGTTAAGAACGGCCTCGAAGTTCCGAATAGAGTGCAAAAAAGTAACTCGGAAATAGACATGGGATATAGGGTTGCGGTCATTTGGATTTCATCGCTTTTCATTTTTGTTAATTTAAGGGTTGAAATCTTTTTGTGCTTTCTTGGTTTTGGGGTTTTGGGGTTGAGCAGGGTTAGGTCGATTAGGTTTTGAGGAACGATTGTGCTGCTTTTGATGGAGGATGTTACCATTTGTAGGGTTTTGCTCAAACCAATAGATGTTTACTTTTCCTTTACGGTTCCTCTGTTCTCGTACTGCTCTCAGCCTTGTGGAGGATAATCAGCAATTTCCGTAGTCAGTACTTCATTTCGGGTTGTCCTCTGTTCTTCTCAAGGTGAATGAATACATGTTTAGGGTTTCAAAGTTTTAGCGCCGTCGAATATTGTTTATAACAACAGGTGCAGTTTCTTCTTTTTACTTCATAGAACGCAACTGAAGAGAGGATCTGCAAATAAAGGGTTTAGTATTGTAGAAAGTCTGGTTGCTGGCTTGCTGGTATATAACCCTAAGTCGTGCGATTCTGTTTATGGGGAAGTAGAAAGTTGCGGACTTGCTATCTGAATGAAATATCCATGGTTGTGAAAATTCGACTCTCGTACAAAACCTGTTCTTCTGCTATATGGGTATCTACATCCCTTTCCTTATTCTGAGAGAAAAGATGCTGCTTATTCATTTGAGTTGAGGAGGGTTTTTTTTTTTCCTTAGACTTTGCAAGATGCTAATATATGGTCAGTTTCTTTTTATTATAATTGGTATTCACTTGAGTTTCATAGAGCTACATATGCATGTCCTGAGAGGCAAGTAGAAGCTCCAACAACTTAACTGCTAGGTACTGATGTACATTTTAACTGTTCGTTCCAACCAGGTACAAGGAAGCTGTTGGCAAAGGTTTCAGCAAGATCACAGGATGTCGAACTCATAACTTCTTGCCGGATAGATCCAGCATTGCGTTTCAGCCTAACTCGGCTGCATTGCCTAGTTTGTCCCTCAGCCAACGTTCAAATGCACCGAATCAGATCCAGCATATCAGTACTTCAAAAGGTCAGTTCTCTCTTCTTCTTTTTTTTCTTTTAACAAACTAAGATTGATGGAGTAGTGGGTGATAAACTGATAATGGCTGTGCCCTTGGGTCTTGGATGCATAATTCTGGGCTGAAACAAACTTGGTTATGTCTATATTTTGACACTGAAAGGAACAAAAGTCCCTGGATTCTCCATATCTACATGTGTAATAAAGGTTCAGTTTTGTAGGGAATCGGGAATATCAGCTTAGAAGTTTAGGGAGATTAGAGCACTGGACGGCCTTGCTCTGGTGTTTGCTGCACTTTTAGATGAAGATTACATTACATATCATAAGTTTACAACTGAAACTCACATCAGAATGGACAATGGAGGCAAACGATGTATTCTGCCCGGAATCCAATGGAAGAGTATAAGTCAGACTCATATGGAAATAGCGATAATTACCAATATTTCCCTATAAACTTGTCAAATATAAAATGTTCAATAACAAAATCATGCTCTTATTTCTATTCTATATATATTAGAGATGACTTGTTAGAATATCCAATCATCAAATCGAGGTAGAAGCGTATGCATGTGTAGATTTTACCCTGATTTTGCTGATCCCACAAGTGTGACAAGTAAGTTTTACATGAAGCCACACAATACTTGATAGAGAGAACCTGTGAAAGAATAAGCTTTTAGGACTCAACTCGGGATTTTGACTACACTGACATTGAACTTTCAATTGGCAGAAAGCCCTTTTATGCACATATCCTCCACATCAACCTCGCTTTTCAAAGATGAAGATGGTGAGTCCTCATACAATCTTCCAAAGGTACCCAGAAGAGTATCCATAAAACCAGCAAAAGCATACAAGTGCTTCAACTCTCCAGCCTTAGCCGAGAAGCCAGAATGGTGGTGGAGGACATTAGCATGTATCCCTTATCTGATTGCCCTGCAGATATCAGCTGCAGGATACTACATCCAGCCCTTACTAGAACACTATGGTTGCTTCGAAAACTTGATCTTCTTCGTTCCTGGAGCAATCACAAGGCTACCCATGTGGTTTACATTGCTGTACTGCTTCTTTGCCTACGGTGGGATTGTGAAGAACAAAGAATGGCCTCACTTCTTCAGGTTCCATCTCATGATGGGATTGCTGTTGGAGACTTCGTTGCAGATTGTATGTGCCACTAGCAATTTCTTCCCTTTGATTCACCAGGAGGGCAGGTTGGGAATGTATTATTGGGCTGGAGTAGGGTTTGCTTACATACTGATTCTGCTGCAGTGTGTGAGGTGTGCCATTGCAGGGGGCTATGCTCACGTACCTTTCATTTCAGAGAATGCTTATATTCATACCCAGTTCAACATTGGTGGTCTGCAAAGGCCCTGGTGAAAGAAAGAGAGAGAGAAAGCAGAATGTCGATGGCTCGGGGAAAAGAAGAGGATATTGATGAAAAGGTGGGTTGTAGAGTAGATTAGGAGTTTTGTAATCTTTTTTTTTTTTTTTGGTGAGAGGAGTTTTGTAATCTGTCGTTATGTAAGCTTCACTTTTTTTTCCCCATTAGCCCCAGGGGTTCTGAACCTTGATGACAATATTCTAGTGATATATTTCTAAGTATCATTTATAAAAACAAAATTCAATAGTTATTTTTGTTGAATTAACTTGTGATTAAAAAAAATAATTACAAAACTACGGAAAGTACTTAAATCTTACCAAAGGTAAAATAGCCTAATGGTAAAGTTGCCGCGACAGTGAAGACTTGAGAGTTGCTGTTCTCAAGTTCGAATTCAAGTGAGGATCGTTGGTGTTCCTGGAGGTACAAGAATGCTGGGACGAAGCTCCGTTGGGGTCGAATTTGATTGCAGGTGGCCCCCAAATTTAGTAGGACCCGATGTAACAAAGTGTCACGTGAGGTTGAGGTTTCTAAATAATAATTAAAAAAAAAGGTTAGCAGAGTTTTTTTTTTTTTGAGCAGTATATTTTCGACTACTCTATAGGGTGAATTCATACTGAATATAGATGTAACACGCAGATTCATTAGTTATTGGATTTAAAAAAAATGAGTTATTCGAATTTACTAGAGCGCATATATGTCGTGCTATGGTAAACGTACTATCCTTGGATTAGAGATCCTGATGGATGACCGTTGATGGAATTTGGATTTAACAATTTACTTGATTTTTAAAGTAGTTGTGGAATTATGAAACAACTTATTCCTTTCACTTAAATAAATGAAAAAGACATTTTCCAGGAAAATTCTGTCAAAGATTTTGACATTGAAATTTGTCGAAATGAAATGTTCCTATTGAGTCATTTTGTACCAAATTACTGGTTTGCTGACAAAGAATTGCATGAGTCATTTGGCTCATACGAAAGTCTCAATTGACTCTATTGAGAGGATTTTTCCAATAATAGCACCTTTAAAACAAAAATTACAAAACTAGCACCCATATGAAAAAATTGACAGAAATAGCACCAATTATTTTGGAACGCACCCCTAAGATGCGTTTTATAAGTAAAACGCACCGGAAGGGTGCGTTCTACTTATAAAACGCATCAGAGGGGTGCGTTCCAGATTACAAAACGCACTAGGGCGGTGCGATTTAATGTTGCTGCGGAACGGTCTTCAAGACCGTTGGATGGAGGGACAATCGGGCGGCTGAGCGCTTGCCAGCGGAGCGATCCGCGCCAAGGATACCAGATCGCACGCCCGAGATGCGTTCAACCCTAGGGAAGCGCCAAACGCATCAGGAGGGAGCGATCCGCGTGAGGGCAAAATTACCCTACCACCCCTGGAGGGTGCGGTCTGATGGGTATAAATACCCCCCTTCCCCTCTCATTTCTTCACACCACAACCCATTCTTCCTTCTCTCTCCACAATTTATCTCTCTAAACCCTCCCCCTCCCAAAAGCCTAGGAAATAGTGGTCTGTTGGTTGCGGCTAAATCCGATCTGCAATCAGAAAACATTTCTTAGGTTTTTTCCTCAAAACCCGCCGAGCCGAGCCGAAGCTTTGTCCGAATTGCGCCGAAAAAATGGCCAATTGGTGGCAAGAAGAAGGAGTTTATGTTGATGAATTTCAAGCGGTACGTACTCATTATTCTGGTTTAATTTTTGTTGTTGTTATAAGCTTTTTAATTAATCTATGTACTAACCTCGTTGTTATTTTCTCGTAGGTTGGGGAGGACGTGGATATATACAACCAACGGTATTATCTCGAGCAAGGACCGTTGGATCCAACCGACTTGTACGATCAACCCAACCATCGGTCAAGGGATGTTTGGAACGCTCACCCGGTACATACAATTCTTTACCATTTGTCCTTCTTTTATTTTGTTAATGTATTTAGTGGAATATAAAATAAATTTATGTTGAATTTTTAATCGTGTTGGTTGTTTTCAATAATTTAATCGAATACATAGCGCCACTTACTTCGACTCGTTATAAAGAGATGCACGTCTAAGGAAATGGGGTTTTAAGCGATTATCATATTCTCCCATTCCCTGGGAAAATTGGGTAATAAGAGATCCTCAGATCCCCCCTTTTTCTGTCAAAAAGACTGCGTTTATAAGAAGATGTATACCTCTTCTAAGAGTCTAACGAGAGTGTTGCTTTGTATTCGATTAAATTATTTAAAACAACCAACACGATTAAATTATTTACCAAACAACCCTTACGATTTATTTTGATGTGTAGAAAATGAATTTTATTAATTTCAAACATTTGAATATGTGTGTTTCTCTTAAATTATTATTCATTAACAATGTCATTTATTTTAGTTAATTTAGTATGTTTGTTTTACGATAATATGTATGTATCTCTTTAAATTATAATATGTATGTATCTCTTCAACTGTCGATGGCCTTTCGAAGTTATGGATGACACACATGTGTGTGTGTTCACCGCACGGGATATGACCCAGTGGCCGTGTCTCTTGCTGTTGATGGCCCGAATCCTAACACTGCACCCCTCGTGATGATTACGGCATCTGACTATGAGCCTTTTAGTGTTGGAATGAGTTGTGTGCCATTCAAAATGCCGAGTCATTGCTTCTGTCTCAATGGCGTGTCGCACCTCCTTCTTCGAGCCAAATTGTTGGTCCTTCATAAACCCAGTGAGTGGACCCCATATTGGGACCTCTGGAGGCTCCATGTCGCTGTCGACCATCCAATTGTCGTCTGGAATGTGATTGTAGTAGGGGACTGGTACACGGTCACGAGCCCCCTCATCATCATTAGCTGAGTCTGACTCTGGTCCTGAATCATCGGCACCTTCAAGAGGGTTGGAGCTGTCTGCACTGACGTTGTTCTCTCCTTCTTCATCGGAGGGGTCACTGACTGGTGCTGGCATGACATCCTCCATCTGATCCAGCTCATGAATGGCACCTTCATCAGCTCCATAATGGTAGTTATGAAAACTACCGCTGCCTGAGTGGAAGTTGTACTGAGGTTGGTTAGGGAGGTCCGGTTGAACTTCTTCTTCATATGACGGGAAAGATTGATGATGACCTTCACCTTGCTCTTGGTACTGAAAATATGAATGAGGATCATGGTAACTTTGGTAGGGATAATCGCCATATAATTCACCTCCACCATGAATACCAGATATTTGACCGTGTCCAGAGTGACCTCCAGCGTCTACGACCGACTCGGTGTAAACAAACATCTCGGCTTTGGAAAGATTGTTGGACCTCATGAATTCGAGCATGGCGTCTACCTCATCCTGAGTGGTTATGAGATATTCCTCATGCCACAATGACCCACTTTCTCTGTTTGGATATCGGTACACCATACGATCAACTCTTCTCGTGCCATCCATGCAAGTAACGTTAGTGCACATTTGATGGAGGTCTTCAAGCAGCGGTCCGGTAGCGACCTTTATCTTGTGAAAATTGCCACCTATGTAGGTGACCCCCTTTCCGGTCTCTTCTGTGTAATCATTCCACCATAAGCCAAACGTGAACTTTTGAAATGCCATCTGCGATAAATCTGTAGTTCAGTTAATATCATAAAAATCAAAAATCAAAAATAACAATAAAAAGTAATACTAAATAAACTTACGAGTTAACGTTAATCGCAAAACTACTAAAGAAATATAGAGCTACAACAGAAAATTGAAAATGGAGAAGGAGAGGTGTGAAGAGAAGTGGTTGTCCAGGAGGCCTTTTATAGGTAAAATCACTGATGAAAACCGCACCTTAGGGGTGCAGTTTTCGTCTGCCACGCAGGCCCATGCAGACCCACGTCTGTTACGTCTGCATGGTATGTCGGAAATTGATTGACCAAAACCGCACCTTCAAGGTGCGGTTTGTATGGCAAAATCGCACCATAAGGATGCGGTTTTGTTTGGGAGAAACAAACCGCACCTTTATAATGCCGTTTTAATAGGTCATGCCAAAACCGAACCTCGGCCAAGCGGTTTTTGTAGGTCAGACCTAAAACCGCTTGGCCAAAATGCGGTTTGGGTCCAGAAATTTGGAACGCACCTTACTGGTGCGGTTTATTTATAAAATGCACCCTTAGGGTGCGGTTTAAATGTAAAACGCACCTATAAGGTGCGGTCTATTAAAAGGGTGCTATTAGTGTAAATTTTTTCGGATGGGCGCTATTTTTGTAATTTTTTTTAAAGGTGCTATTTCTGGAAAAATCCCTCTATTGAGTCATTTCCAAATGCCTCCTATCTATGAGTTATCGCCAAATGACTCATTATTTTAGAAAAAAAAAATTCAATTATGTCCTTGTCACTTTTCAATAAACTCATTTTACCCTTGTCTTTCTATTACTTATTTCCCCTATCATTCTTTCCTCTATTACCGATTTTTTTTGTGCCAAATTTTACAAGCGATGATGGGGGTCATCCATCTTACCTTCTCATCATTTTCTCGTGACTCTACCTCTTCGTATCATGGGAGTTTCCACCTTCAAGAATTATTGAGAAATGCGAATAGTTTGAAAAAAAAAACTAAAGGAAAGTCTTTGAAAAAGGTAAGGAAGTTAATACGGATTAATTCTCCGTATTGAAGGAAACGTTTCTTCAATCAGAATTAATTGACCGAATTAACGGAAAGTTCAATCAATTGGATTGATTTTCCATATTGAAGGAATCTTTCATGATCATATCAATTGCCCATACTAACGGAAAATTTCAATCAATCGGATTGATTTCTGGTATTAAAGGAAACTTTTATCAATCGGGTTAATTGTCTGCATTAAAGAAAGGTCTAATCAGGAGTTATTACTCTTGATTTCCTTCCTTAAGAAGATTCTCAATTCCTCCACCAAGAGGGGAAGGCTGAAGGTCTCATCCTATATAAATAGATGAGTTGCCTTACCCTAAAAAAGTAGAAGAGCATAAACACGAGAGAGAGTGAGTTCATAGAGCTCCGGTTTTCGCACAAAATCGATGAGTAACAAATCAGAATGGCTGTTTTATCCTGGAGGCGACCGGCTAATAGTCTGCTGTGCGCAATACGAGGCAGTGCCGCGAACGTCTTAAAGAGAGCGACCTAGTCCGCGACTCAACCAGATTCGGTAACCCTAAATTTTATGTTCGGTTTATAACAATTTTAAGACTTTTGGTTGTGCCGTGTATACCAAACAGAGTGCCGATTCTTGATCACGAGATCGTGGATTCATGAGCAGAACTCCCCCAGCTTCTTTTCCTTCTCGCGGCGAGATAAACAGACACACCTGAAAGACTGCCGTTGTGCTGCGGGGGTTAATCTGGAACAAGAACATGGGGATTACTGACGGAAATCGGAGATTGCAAAGAGATCGGCCCCGCAACTGTGGAAGCCTTCCTTTTCTTCGCTGTCACATTGCCCTATGTGAAGAGCCTAGAGACTCGGTAGCTTCTATTTGGTCATACCGAAAATTGCTTGGAAGCAAAGGCGAGCCCCAGAAAAATGGCCTCCTTACTTGATCCCATCACAATCAGACAGATCAGAAGCCATCTGGAGGGGTTGCAGCTTCCTGGCGGATGTGGGTGAACTATCACTGGGAAGGAGACAACCCTAAATCGTGTTGATTTTCGGATCTAGCCCAGGGCCCATTGCAACGGAAGCCAGTTGGGGAAACGTGGTTTGCGCGATTGAATGGGCCAAGGAAATTCAATCTCGGGCCAAGTAAATGAAAGAAAGCCACGACTAACTAATTGTCCAAGTCCCACCAGAATGAGGAAGAATGGACAAGCGTGTCCTTTTTGTGTGAAGTTAGCAGGCCTTTCAATTCCTGGGCCTAGAAATATTTTGGTTTAAACGAACCTAGATGTCCACTAATGTTGGCACCACAGCAGCTGTGCACGTCGGCATGAATTTGTATGCGCCGGTTGAACTGAAGCCATGATCAACTACCATAAAGCAAGGAGGGGCGCGCGATGTTATGTGCTAACATCGAAGGCGCTATGGAGTGGAGCACGATGAGGACGAGGAGAATATAATGACTTCTTGAAAAGAGGTAAGAGTTGAAACCTTACTTATGAGTCATTTATGAATGACATAATTAGAATCAATTTCATATGAGTTTGTGCATGGAGTTGAGAAAGGTTATCAATGCTAGAATGAAATCTAGAATTGGTGCATGTTGACATTGAGATTTGTTAACTCGATTATTAGAACTTCATACACACGTCTTCGAGAGTAATTTTGATTACATGAATGCATACTCTGAAGCATATATGAATGTATATTATGTAGTAAATATGCTAGTGGAATGGGTTATATGTCCTTATTTATTTAGTACTGTTTGTCAGTACCACGAGAACCATTTGTACGTTTCTAAACCCTAATAAGGTTCAAGAATCAGGATAGCAAACCGAATCAGATTCACACCAATTAAAATGGTACCATTCATGGTAACTAAAGGATCATCGTCCAATCCTCTAAGAGTGACGCTTTGTTTCTCTGCAATAGTTGCGAGAAATTAGGTCATAAGACACGAAAGTGTAGGAACAAGTATAACACTTGTTCTAGTGTTAACTTGATTGAAAAGTAGGATTGGTGGCTATGATGATTGACAAAAGAGCAAAGATTAACCATGTTGGTAACTCTGAAGAATGGTGGCTAAATATTAGTATCTCGAAGCATACTAAGACATATGCTATTAAGAAAGTGTTGTTGAGTATTGCTCACTCCACTATTGATCATGGTCATGAGAGTAGGCATATGATGATAAATTTAAAATGTTGAATTCTTATGGTTCTTGCATGCACGTCTTTGACGTATATCTTGAGGAATTGAATAGCTAGGGTCACATTTTCATAATGGTTGTGATAAATATGATTTTCATAGCTAAGCTAATAAACCCATAAATATGTGATTAGAGAATCATAATCTTTGATCTGACACGATAAATATGGGTAAACGTGATGTAATGCTTATTTGGAATGGCTTGAAATGCTTTATCGCATTAATATTAATTGCTCTGATTATTTGGTTGGCTGGTAGAAGAATTTGAGAATCAGTGCTATATGATTACAAGTAATCATATGACTATATGTTTATTGGATATGCATTAGTAAAACACATAAGCCTATATAATGAAATACTCATTAGTTTGTGAAATCGATTGATACCAATAAATTCCATTTATATTAAGAAATGGTGGGGTGATATCCTGGCTACTATTAGAAATAATGGATAACTAGTGGGGGTGATGAATCTGGGTATGAACTCAGAAGAGACAAATGAACCATAAATCATGAAAGGATTTTGGTTATGAATTTGTTATTCACACACTAAGAAAGAAAGATCATACAAGTATGCTAGAAGTTCGAACTTCCATAAAGATGCAGAATTGTGGGAGAATCCATTATTAACGAAATGGAATTATTGGAATCTAATAAGACTTAAAATCTTGTAGAGTTACCTTTTGGTTGTAAAGCCTTGGGTAATATATCGATAGAATCGAATAAGATTTGGCATCTATGAGAATTACTTCTTGGCAATGAAGTCGAAGGTAATAAATGGATTTCCAAAAGAAAAACTGAAACCTGATGGTTTAGTTTATGAGTATAATGATCGCCTAGTAGCTAAGTCTTTAGGTGAAGAGGAAACATTATAGATATCTATTCACCAATATTTACAATAACTTTCATGTAGGAGATGAATGTTAAAGCTATTTTATGAATGGTGATTTAGATAGGGAAGTCTACTTGGGACAATTTATAGGGTTGTTATTCCTGAATATGCTTATGGAGTCTATAGTTAGACAAATCATTGTAAGATTTGAAACAGACTCTAAGATGATGGCATGAATAAACTGGTTCTCTCTCATGATATCAATGATGTGAAAAACCATGTTTGAGAATTTTGAATGATCTAGATGAAGCTTGTGTAAGCTAAGCGATCCAGGTAACTATGACAATGAAATAGATTTCTTCTAGATCTTAACTATGTAGTTAAACTGATCTAGAGGAAATCTAAGTTGTATGTCTGCATAAATGGTTGATGATGCTAGTGTAAATATTAAATAACACTGGAAACGGTGTAAGAAACTAAGAAAGTTAGAATATACTAGCATCGACAGTTTGCGTGAGGCAGCTGATAAACATGAGACCCGATTTAGTGGGGGTACTTAGCAGGTTTACTGATTGTCCTAGTATGAAGCATTGGAATGCTATTGAAAGGGGTCACGAGACACCTTAAAAGAACATAAAACCCTTGGTATTTGTTATCAAAGGTTTTGCTGTATTGGTAGGGTATAGTGATGCGGACTAGAATACCCTATAGAGGACTCCAATATAATCAGAAGCTATGTTTTAAACATCGATAGAGAAGTTGTGTCTTGTAAGTCTAAGGAAAAGAAGTAAACGATCATGGCTCAATCAACTATGGAATCAGAAATTATAGAACTAGCAATGGCGAGTAAAGAAGAAAGTTGATTGAGAGGGTCATTACTAGAGATTCCCTTATGGGAAAGACCGTATCCGCCGGTATTGATCCATTGCTATAGCAATTGCTAAATTGAACCGTAACAAAAGGTGAGAGGCGACAAGTTCGTCATAAGAACAGTACTGGAAGAGAGAGTCCTTAAATGTTGGAGCAGTAAGGGTGGATCACTTAAAAGAGAATCTAGTTTATCCTTTGACGAAAGGATGAACTTGAGATTATAACAGAATCTAGCTGATCCTTTGACGAAAGGATTACCTAGAGAGAAAAGTCCAAAATACCACTAAGGGTATGGGACTTATGCCTATCGAACCACGAACTACAAGTGATGGTAACCCGACCCAATAGACTGGAGATCCCAAGAAATGGGTTCAATGGGTAATAACAAGTCATGAGTAGTATGCGAAAAGTTCATGCATAGTGAAGCATGAATCCCAAAGCAATGGAGGATGGGTTCATAACTCTTAATGAGATCTATACCCTATGTGGGATTGAGTACTTTACTTTGGGGGTACTTCTGATAGACTCACCTACGTGAATGTGTGAGTGGGGCCGCTCCCTACGGAACTTTGGAGGCACAAAGTTGCTAGAGCGTTCACTAATCCAGGATAACGTGCATGGCCATAAACGCACGGGCTGAGAAGAGAACACAACTCAATGAAAAGATCCGGTGTGCTACACTGTCTGAGATAGGGTTCAAGACTACGAGTCACCCTTATGAAATCGGAAGTGTAACCACTACGCTAAGGTTCAAATCTTCACGATACCTTAGCTTATGCCCGATCGTATGGAACTATTAATGGTCAGAGATAGTTTCAAAACTATTCAAGTGGGGATTGTTGAGAAATGTGAATAGTTTGAAAAAAAAACTAAAGGAAAGTCTTTGAAAAAGGTAAGTGAAGTTAATTCGGATTAATTCTCCATATTGAAGGAAACGTTTCTTCAGTCAGAATTAATTGACCGAATTAACGAAAAGTTCAATCAATTGGATTGATTTTCCATATTGAAGGAATCTTTCATGATCAGATCAATTGCCCATACTAACGGAAAGTTTCAATCAATCGGATTGATTTCTGATATCAAAGGAAACTTTTATGAATCGGGTTAATTGTCTGCATTAAAGAAATGTCTAATCAGGAGTTATTACTCTTATTTCTTTCCTTAAGAAGATTCTCAAATCCTCCACCAAGAGGGGAAGGCTGAAGGTCTCATCCTATATGAATAGATGAGTTGCCTAACCCTTAAAAAGCAGAAGAGAATAAACACAAGAGAGAGTGAGTTCATAGAGATGAGTAATAAATCAGATTGGTTGTTTTATCCTGGAGGCGACCGGCTGATAGTCTGTTGTGCGCAATACGAGGCAGTGCCGCGAATGTCTTAAAGAGAGCGACCTAGTCCGCGACTCAGCCAGATTCGGTAACCCCAAATTTTCTGTTCGGTTTCTAACAAGAATAAGTCGTTATTAGTACGAATGTGAGACCCTGGAGTCGTTAGATCTTATAAAGAAATTTAACATGAACATATTATTTAATATTTGAAAGTATTATACATGACTTGTAATCATGAGCACTTCTACTATGCTATATAGTATTGGTGCTTTAATGTACAATTTGAAATTGTACCATAACATTAAATGTATAATTTTAGGTTGTACCATAAAGAAATTTATACCATTATGTTATGGTACAACTTTACAACTTGAAGTTGTATCATCACATAAAGGTACAAGTTCAAGTTGTACCATAAAAAAATTTGTACAAAAAGTATAGGTACAATCTGAAGTTGTACCATAACGTTAAAGGTACAATTTCAAGTTGTACCATAAAGGCAAAAACCTATAGTACCAATACTATATAGCATTGTAAAATTCCTCAGTAATCATATGTTTTGTTGGTTGCAAAATGATTCTGTTACTTAGTTAGTTTTATGAGGATATGAAACAAGATAATGAAATATTAAATGTAAGGGCAAAATAGAAACATTATACAGATGATCCATTCATGAATAATTCATTTAAAAACTGTTAAATAAACAATGAATTGCAAATCTCTACATTCACAAATGTCAACATTTGTCAAATTTATATATTTAAGCAAATGCCTCATTTTGTAAATGACTCATATAAACAACCAAAAGAGCTACAAAAATATAAACTAGAAAAGTACCAACACAATGTTGCGGATGGTGGGAGCTGGGAGGCCATGTGGCGCATTAGCCAATGACTTGTTGATTTCTCATTTCCATTAGCAATTAATAAATTATCTCTTTGATAGCCTGCTTTTTTCCCCCATACTTTGATAGCCTGTTGTTTGCTTTGGTGAAGTCAGGCCAAAGAAATAAAAATAATTAAGCTATACTAAAGAAATGTAGCCCATGGTAGTCTTTGTTTATTTGAATAATTAAATCCAATCCAAACCGGCAAGTTCAAACCCAAAATTCAAGGTTTATAATAGCGTACCGGAAAATTCAGCGTAGAGTATTTTATGCCGAAACTATGATTTAATCGTAGTTCAATCATTTCATATCATTAAATACCGCCTACCAATTTAGTCTAGGATGAAGATTTTTCTGATCGAACCGCCTATACGGTACAGTTTTCTAATTCTTGCAAAAATTTGAGCCCTATTTATTGACCTGATTCTGTTATCATTCTTCAAACTAAAATACCACACACAATAATATCTATCATTTTCTCTCATTCTCGCTTTAAAATAGTCCCATCATCAATAGATCTCAAATTCGACTATGGATCCCTCGATCCAATAACTTCTTTTTGCTCTTTCTCTGCCTCTAGATTAACATGAAGAAAAAGAAAAGAAATTATGCAATCACCAAAAGTGTCCCAAGTTCACCTCCATTGAAGTTAAAGAAGAATGCACGATGTGGGAGCAAGAACGGCAGAATACTGGCCAAGTATGGAAACCGGGTTGAGGTACCTACTTTGAAGCCTAGTTTATTCATGTTAAGAGACATTTGAGTGAAGCTAGAAGTTGGGTGTGAAATTCCAAGACTTGTTAAAGATCGTGAAGAAGTAGGTGGAGGTCGACCGAGCTTAGAGGGCCTCAAACGAGCTGCCTGAAGATCATATGGGGGCAGTTTATTTTACTTATTAGTGTTGGTTTCTTGTTCTCCGAATTTGAGGGTTCTTGAGTTGATTTCTTGTTCTTTTCCTTATTAGTGTTGTAGAGTTTTTCCTTCCCTATATAGCATAGAATTACGGTTCCTTATGCCTATTAAAGGCTGCATTGTAGCTTGTAAAAGAAGAACATTATTGATTAAGCTTTAACTCTAGAATTCTTCGAGCAATAGCTGGCAAGTTTTTATTGATCTTTAGTGGACCCTAAAGGTTGTTTGGTCTTGTATCAATCAAGTAATTCACTCTGGATTGTGGGGAGCAATACAATTCCGAAGGGAAATCGAGATCGAGACGTTAAAACTTGAACCAATCAAAACATGGAGCGGAGATTGATCACCATAGATCACGAACAAGTGTAAAATGTAATTTTTCATCAATATTTTTAGGACTTATATGTAAAAAAATAATTTTATGCACTAAATATTAATGTGCTAAGTTTGGGTACTAAAATTATAAGTAGTATATAAACCGCTATTAACCAACATAGAGAAAGAGGGGAAGAAGAAAGGGATAGAGGAAAGGGATAATTACTATAGTTAGTATAGTACCATTAATGAAAGCATGGTGCTAACACTTAAGTGATACATTCCTGGAATCGATCAAATGCCATCGAGGATTGATCGTCGAAGAGGCCAAGTCGAATTCCGGGAAAGAATCAGAAAATTGTCCAAGTCATTTTCAGTGTTCAAGTAGCCAACTTTTGGTGGGTGTATGTTATCAAAGTCACGCAGCTAACGACTCAATCGAAGGATCGATTGAGCTCGAATCAAGAACGAAGCATTCTTAATACGAACTTGGATAAAACGGAATCAGCCTCCAAAGTTGACTACTTGAACACTGAAAATGACTTGGACAATTTTCTGATTCTTTCCGGAATTCGACTTGGCATCTTTGACGATCAATCGTGGATGGAATTTGATCGATTCTAGGATTGTATCATTAAGGGTAGGGGTGTACATGGGTCGGGTGGTCCGGGTTTAGCCATTTTAATCAACCGACCAATGCACTATGGTTCGAAAAATATTTAACCCAAACCCACCCAAAAAAATTTAAACCCTACGATTTGTTTCTAATTGGGTTGGGTTGGGTCGGGTTGGCAATGTTTTTAAGTAAAA